CCTACTTCTTCCCCACCTGATTCAGCTGATGTGGGTGAGGTAAGGCTCCATTTTGGGGCTCTGTTAGGAGAGTGATGGTGGCTACTTTCACTTTCAGGTTCCCCTAAAATGGCTGAGAAGGCGGGAACATCTAGCTCCCAAGGCACAGAGAGTCTTAACCCTTCACAGACTACCAATACAGCCTCCCAAAGGGAACATCTAGCTCCCAAGGCACAGAGAGTCTTAACCCTTCACAGATTACCAATATAGCCTCCCAAAATACTGAGCCCTCAGGAGAGGAAGCCCAGTCAAATTTCTCTCCTGGCTTAGAGAGGAAATGAGAAAGAATTCACTGGTCTAGGGCAACAGGCAGCTTCTTCCTAGGCTACTGTCCTCTCTGCTAAAAGAGACAGGAGTCTCAGTACAGAGGGCAGCCCTCCTCCTAGAAATACAGGCCTCCCAAGCATAGTGCCAGAAAAAAGGTGAACTATTAGAGCAGAAGAAAGAAAAGGGTGCCTGTCATTCAATCTAGACTCTTCCTCCTAATCTCTATAATAGAATATGGGCTAAGGTCATGAGGGCACTAGAGTTTACATACTCTCCAAAGATACAGGAAGACAAGGAGGTTCCTGGGTTCTTTCCTGTAGGCTCTGACAAAGCCATTCCCAAGTGTGCCGCTTCCTGTGGCATTATATAATATCATTATGGCAGAATGGGAACACCCAGCCAAGCCAAAGTCTGGGAAACCCAGTGTTTAATAAACTCTGCTTTCTTATTCCAGGAGCCACAAAGAAGTTCAAACTTCCTATGGTGGATGATTCAATTAACTTATAAGTGTCTACTTCTCTGTTTCCCGTGGATGCTGATGGACTCCCAAAAAAGACAAGGGAGTTGCAAAGGCACTGCGTAGAGTTTTTTTGAGGCGCTTGCCATCTCCCTTAGAGTATCAGCTATGGGATCCCTGTTTGCTCAAGTGGCCTACCTGTGGGCCTCAGAGCTAACTTCTGTAGACAGTGACATACCAAAGAGCCTTAAGGATGAGCTAAAACAGATAGCTCTAGCCACAGCAGTTGCAGCAGAAGCCTCTTTGGATGCCATACAACTCACAGCGAGGGCTATGGCATGTCGTGCAACGGCCAGGAGAAATACGTGGCTGGGGCACTGGAATGCAGATCCAGCAACAAGGACCAAGGTGGCAGTGGTATCTCTCAAGGGAGTTAACCTTTTAAGAGCAGGCCTGGAATGTTACTTGGTGAAAGGCAAAGACAAGTCATGGGTGCTACCGTCAAAGAAGAAGGATATGAATTCTAGAAGGAGACCACAGTCTTTTTGAGACCTCAGTCGTGATGATAAACAACAAATGGAAGATATAGGTGCAAGAGGATAGCTTTCTCTGGGCAGTGGCAACTGGCTGTGTCGGACAAGTGGTTCCTGGAGATGCTGGCCCATGGCTACGCACTAGAGTTCAAAAGAGTTCCAAGCAACGTTTCTTGGATATCTCATGGGAAAGATCACCAGGAAAAACACAAGATGATGTTACAGGCAATCTAACATCTGTTGGACACTGGAGTGATAGAGATGGTGCCAAGACAGAGAGTTCGCTAGGAATTTAGTCCATCCCTTTACGATCACCAAGAAGAATGGGAACACTAGGGGCATCTCAGACTTGAAGTGGCTCAACAAACATGTGCAATCACGAAAGTTCAAGATGGAAATGTTGAGGTCCATCTTTTTCCTCCATACATGCAGGGGGACCATGGTCTCCATAGACCTGGCGGAAGCCTATCTGCACATCCTGACAAGGGATAATCACAAGAAATTTCTAAGGTTCACATATCTCAGCAAACATTTCCAATATTGAGCCTCGTTCTCTGGACTCAAGTCCTCGCCTCAGATATTCTCCAAGGTCCTGGGGACACTAGTGGCCTTCCTAAGTCTGAGAGGAGTGGTCCTGTTTTCCTTACTTGGAAGACGTTTTGATCCAGGCAGAGTCCAGTCACCAGGCGAGCCTACACTTGGACTTTATAATCCAAGTATTTAGTGTTTAGTCATGCCGGCCCCATGACCACGGAAACGTCTTCGGACAGCGCTGGCTCTTCGGCTTTGAAATGAAGATGAGCACCGCAACCCTAGAGTCAGATTCGACTGGCTTTCGAGCAAGGGAACCTTTACCTTTACCTTACTACAGGGACATGGTTGTGCTATTAACAGGGAGAAGAGGACCCTGGAGCCAACTCAAGTAATTACACACTTGGGAGTGTGGATAGACACAAGACAGGACAGGGTTCTTCTGCTCCAGGAGCGGTTAGTAAAATTTCTCACTTATCTTTCATCAGGTCCTGAACATTTAGACACGAGGTGATGACTTTAGTATGTCTCCTGGGCATGATGGTGTGCCAAGATCTACTACCGTGGCCTAGAGTTCATATGAGACCCCTGCAGCACTTTCTTTATTCACTACCAGAAGGAAATAGACTACAAGATAGTCAAGAAGGTACAGTTACCACAGTCCGTGTGGACAGAGTTGCAGTAGTGGCTAGTTCCGACTCTGTTCACAGAAGGGATACTTCTAAGTGAACCCCATGGGACACATGGTCAAGATACCTGGTCGAAGCCGGAAACATCCAAGAGCATCAACTTCCTGGAACTTGGGATCATAAAGTTGACCCTGGCTCGCCTGCAGACGCAACTAGTAGGCAGTCATGTTCTGATTCAAATGGATAACATGATGACGAAAGTCTATATTAACAAATAGGGAGACATGCAATCCCAACAGCTACACCGGGAAGCAATGCAAGTAATGCAATGGGCAGAGGAGCATGTGCTGTCCTTAAAGGCCACACATATGGCAGGAAGAGAAACGTGTTAACAGAGGGACGCCTTCCAACAGATCAGCGAAAGATTTGGAAGGCAGAGGTGGATCCTTTCACGTAGACAGACCATCAAGTTTAATTAAAACACACACACACACACACACACAACCCCCCCAAAGGTTTACCTCCAAAACTCACATGAAAGGGGCACTAGGAATGGATGCCCTGTTCCTAGCATGGCCAAGAACTCTACTCTATGCCTTGTCGTTCCTGACTCTTAATTCCCAGAGTGGTACAGCAGGTGATAGATTAAAGAGCAGATGTGATTCTGTTGGCACCCTTTTGCCCTTGGAGGGCGTGGTTCCAGGACCTCATGAGCCTATCCAGACAGGATCTATGGTGGCTGCCTCTCAGACGGGACCTTCTATCTCAGGAGATGACCGTTCATCTGCAACTGGACATGCTACAACTCACAGCGTGGAGGTTGAGAGGAGACAGTTAGCAGCTCTAGGATATGAGACAGAGATGGTTTCCACACTCTTGGCATCCAGAAAATTTTCTATGACCAAAATATATGACAGATCCTGACAAACATCTTCTAACTGGTGTGGAGAGCAGGGGTGGACCCAATGCGGGCGCAGATGGGCATGGCTTTTCTCCTACAGGGTCCGAGTAAAGGGTTGAGTACTAGTTCTCT